CATGGACAAGTTTGGGGGGGAAAAAAACAAAACATAAATACAACACAACAAATCAATGAGGAGTGTGGCTGCAGCAGGTACAAACAGACTGAGAGCAGAGCATGCAGGAGCCACCAACACTAAGCAACACAAACACAACAACATGGATGCAAATGCTGGTTCCCAACACCAATCAGGACCTGGCTGGACTCGGCAAACAAATGTGATTAAAGGAGGTCTGATGTGAGCCCAGTGGGATCAATACTCTAGTGTATCCCGGTGTTGCTCAGCCCTCGGACCTGACAGGAGCCCGATCAACAGGGACAGGATGTGACAAGATTTTTGAATCCACGGAAAGTTTCAATTGATCCGATATCGTCGTGTGAAAAACGTCCACGGGTGATTCAACATCGGGCGTGTGCTTGATCTGGAAATACGTGCCCGTCAGCCGGATGACTATCCACCATCTGGCCGGCTAATGGAGGAAAAACCGAAAGTGTTCCCAGTCTCGCCTGCTAGCCGTGTGGCTAGCGTGAAGCTAAGCGCAAAGCTATGTAGCATCAACATCCCCGCACACTGACTGACGGCCTGGACCCAAACCTCGGCTCCGCAGCTCGACCCGCGAGCCGCCCCGCCGCCAAACTTACCGGCTTTCTCCTGATCGTATCCCACGACAATAAAATAGTCAGCCAATCTAGCCATGTCTGCTGCTTTTCCCGAGATATACCAACACAATTCAGCATTTTTCCTTCTTCCAAAGCACAGCCATGTTTGACAGAAGGAGTGCCACTGCGCTTGCGTGCAGGAGCGGGATACATCCATGGGCGTGGGCCCTCCAGTTTACAAATACAGCTCTGTGTCCCGACAGAGCTGCTGTTTGGCCCTAAAGCACAGGCGCTGGTTTTTTATTTTTATTTTTTACATCAGGGACAGCCGTACACACAGCCAGCACCACGCTAGAATCATACTATACGTTAACGCAGCAGAGGGGATATAATTACAGCCACAGAGGGGAGACCTGCTATAACAGTGGTTTCTGGATTTGGCTTCCTGGGAGCTTTCCAAGAACTCCTGGAGGTCTGAAGAGCTGCTCCAACATACTGTCTAGGATAACTGGAAAACACTCACAGAAATGGTAGATAAATACAGGAAATAAATACAGAGAATAGCAGCTCTGACAGAGGAATGAGAGAATATTTGCGTCACTGTTATAATGGGTAGCAGAGGTTTCCATGTGCTTATATATCTGCTAAGCTCTTTTTCACTAATTTAGATTTATTATAAAGATTTACAGCCTCTATAGGGGAAATATTACTTAATGCTGTTCAGGACTTCTGGGGTCTTTTGGACCCCTGGACCTTTGGTTTAGGTGACAGGTGTTGGTTTTTATATTTTTTATTTTTGAGGATTGTTTTTTAAACATTAAAAAGAGGGACATTTGTCAAAAACACATCAACTTATCAGAACACTTACTTAACATAGCATAAAAGTCTATAATGAATACCAACAAACATCCATCCATCATCTCTACACCTTAATCCTCACCAGGGTCATGGGGGGCTGGAGTCTATCCCAGCTGACTCAGGGTGAAGGCAGGTTCACCTGGACAGGTAACCAGTCTATCACAGGGCTACACTTAGAGACAGACAACCAAGCACACTCACATTCACACCTACGGACAATTTACAATCACCAATTAACCTCAGCATGTTTCTGGACTGTGGGAGGAAGCCGGAGAACCCGAAGAGAACCCACGCTGCACGGAGAGAACATGGAGACTCCACACAGGTGTCCTCACCCACAAATGTTTTGCACATATTCTTTCTGGGGTCCAGTGGACCCTGAAAGACCTTCTACGTATGGCAACATGAACGCCCTGAATAGAGTCAAGATACAACAATCTAGTGCCAAACAAGATGTAATAATTTAGCATAATAAATGAAAGATAAGCAGATTGTTTGCTTTTATAAATATCACTTAAACCTAATGAGACATTGTCTGTTTACTGAGAAGGGTTAACCAATGGGTCAGCAAATAATCAGGTCTGTCACCTGTCTGTCAGAAGAATACTGTTTAAAAACAAGGCTAAAATTGGGAGAGAGTATGATTTATTTCTATTTTAAACATCACAAAGCTGCTCCATATGGACTATTCCACATATCTGTGTGAGCTTTTAGTAAAACCCACTTTCACTTAGCGGTTTGATTTTGTGGTCAGTGCAAACGAGATTCATTCTTGGTGCCGTCCCAGGCGTTGCTATTGTTTTAAAGTCCATACTGGGCTAAATAAATGTGCTCGTGATTTGATGCACAGTGTGAGCGACGGGGCAAACGCCTGTGGTTGTGGCAAAATATTGAATATTCATGAAAACAGGAAAAGCTGTCACAGGGTATAGCACGTGGATGTCAGTAAAGTGTGAGAGACAAACCACCGTCACTGTCAACAATAGCAGGAACACGGCAAGCAGTTTCCTCGGTATTTTCTCTTCGTCTGTGTTTTCAATCTCTCCCTAATTTCCCACATATTGCTTTTGTTTGCTCGTTAAAAAAAAGCGACATAAAGACAAGAGGCAGTCAAAGAACGGTGCCCACGCCAGAACATGAAGGAACACAGACGGGGAGATTAAATATAGTGTTTATCATGCGACAAGAATGAAGGGAAAGTCATGTCCTCAAACAGCACAACAGGTATTTCTAGGTTCATCACGGCATTGTAATAACAATGAATCATCTTTTATGTTTGCGCCTTGGGGTTGGCAGCCTCTCTCGTTCCTGGAAACCATGACATTCAGATTTTCCTGCCTCGTGTACCTGCTCATCAAGTACAAGGTTGCAGAAAAACCGACAGTCATCCAGTGACAGCGGCTTAACGACGGACATAAAAACGATTGCTATATAAGGAGCCGAAAGGCATCAAAAGAATATTGCTGTCGCGATTGCACCATCTCTTGTTTTAAACTCTGGTAAAGGGGATCACTTGTGTGCTGGAGACAATTATCATTACAAAGTGCTTACAAAACATTTGCTGGTTTACAGCACATGTGTTTGCCATTTATGTATTTTTTACTTTTTTTTTTTTTTTTGGAGTTGAAAATATGACACCATGTGAGGAATGGGGTCGCATGAGATATAAATAAACTCAGGAAGGTTTTGTAATAATAATGAGATATGAGTTGTAGGATGCTGATATGCTGGAGTGGAATGTCAAGTATTAAGCACTCCTAGGATGATGTTGAAAGAAGGAAAAGGCGCCGTCTTCCCCCCTCCTCTGCTGAAATTGAAACGAAAACTGAACGCATTGCTCGGATTGTAAAAGTAATTTACACAATGCCTCGAGGAAATTACTACGATGGAATTCCTTCGTTAGCAAATGTTTTTTTCTCGGGTTTTTACTATATTTCGTACGCTGCGAGGGTGTTTGCTATTAATCTTTTTTATGACTCACAAGTTTTTCTGAGGTGTAGATGTATATATTATAACAATAAGCTCATCTCAAATACAGTTAAACATCTTTACAAGCTGTGGGTTAGTCAGATGAGGGCTGTGATAAAATAAAGAGTTCCTCGGTGTGTTATTTCTGATGCCATTTTCTGTGAATTCCCCCCCAAGAGGCTTATAATCCACATCTGCCTCATGAACCCCACTGACAGGTTTTTTTTGTGTGTGTGCTCTGATTTGAAATATCTGTCGTACTGCATCGCTTCCACTTATTTAGCTTCAATATAGGCACATGTGGTCGTGTACAAAGTGCTGCAAACAGGTTTAAAGTGACATAATGTGAAATAATGCGAGGGGGCTGATGTCCTCTGAGACTTACAGGCAGACTTCATGGCTCTCCCGTTATCGTGTAATAGATTCTTGTCTGTGCATTCCTGAGGCGAAATGTGAAGTCAGATTACTTATACGCTATAACAGCAACAAATGAGCTGAATTATTTTAAAAATGTCTCCGTCTATGTTGTTCATACATCATAGATTATTGCCCAAGTTCATTTTCTGACTCTGGATTTATTTTTAGATAATTGTAAAATTCCATTTCGCATTTATCCAAATATCAAAATAAATGACATGGAAAGTCAAGAGTCAAATACTTGCCCTGTACAAACAAATACGTCGAGCATATTGTGCTTGCAGTCGGGCATACTTGCTGTATTTAATCAGTTACTCAATGCTTGTCTCTTTCCACATCTCAAATTCATCATCCGGTGTATTTTCAAGCTGACATGGAACTTCACTGTGTCAGGGAGTGCCACGAAAGGCAGACTGTAGAAACATTCCTTAAATTTGATTTTACACAATTAGCCAGCTGGGCTGAAAGGAGCATTAACAAAAACGGTGCTTGACTGAGCTCAGAGTTCAAATATTGGAAGATGAATGTGTGTAAACCTTTTTTCTTTTGTGACTGTTTAGTTTTCAAACAGCACCGAAAGCAGCCGGCTGACCACGTTGTGTTCTTACTGGAACAGCGAGTGTTGTAAACGATGGCCATTTTATACACATACTGTTACAATTATATACACATACGGTTAAAAAAAAACACAAACAAACAACATTTTATGATACTTATATAACTTTATACTGAGATGTAAAAGAAAAAAAAAAGGTTAATATCATGACTCAGTGTAAATTCTTGCATTGCTGCCTTTATTCTGTAAGCTCAGGAACTATTCTCATTTTATGTTGAACATTTCTAATTCTGGATCTTTTCGCTGTGTTGCGCTGAGCACAGCAACAGCACATGAGCTGGACGGGGTGGGGGAAAAGGATGAGAGGCTGTGTGTCAGTCAATGAGCCCCTCCCACCTCCTGTATAAAGGCTGCCTGTCTGGTGTGTAGGAGCTATTAGCAGAGTGACACAGCTGCCTTACAGAACCAGAGGCAATTTCAAGAAACCTGTGGAGTATTCTTTTACAGCTGACTCTAGAAGAAGAGCATTCTCACCCAAGCTGAACGCTCAGAGAGCAACAGGTACGTGCACCAGCTTTTACACAAGACATTGCTGTGGTTTGCTGTGCTCCAAGCTGATGGCTTTATCTTTGCTTTTTTGAGGTCAGGGCACAAGTGTAGAGGCAAGGACAGGTTATCTGTCTGGTTATATAAGCAGTTCAGCTCTTAATGTGTGTGTCTGTGAATGAACTGCCTTCAAGGCATCCAACAGAGGCAGTACAAGCTGCAATTAATTCCTCTATGTTTTGTGGTATCATTAGGGCGACTGGGTTGAAAAGCATTTGAGTTTTCAGTTGACTTGTGAGCTGAGCCTATTTTGGACCCCTTATTGGTAGACTGTGCCCTTCACATTACTGGCCAGGGGCCCAAAGCATGGTTGTAGGTTTACTTAACCGAGCAAAATCTGACCTTAGCTTAACTTTTTAAATAAATGAATGATATGTGCAAATAACTTGGCTTTTGGACTCTTGTGTAAGCAAGCACAATTGTGGCACTTACTGTATGAGTGAGCTGGACATGCACAGAGGGACAGTAGGAACATTTGTGGTGTTAAAAATTAATTTTGAACATGAATAACTAACTAACCAATGTTTTCTCCATTTTCCACAGGAGCCAAAATGAAATTGATCTTCCAGTCTTTCCTCTATTGCTGTCTGCTGACAACAGTAGCACACTGTGTGGAACTTGAAGTGAGTCCCCAGTTAAGAAAAAGGTGAGTTAACTGATGAGTAATTCATTTAATAATCAGAATGTTTTCACCTGATTCAGGGTGTAATAGTCTGTGACAGCAGCTCCTTGTCTGCTGAATTATCTGCCTAAGACTAATGGACTTTTTTTCCCTCCTCTCACAGGCTAAGCATATGGCTAGGAAGCAGATTGAGACGGGATCTGGACGGTGTATCACTAGAGAACACGGCAGAGTCTCAACAGTTTGTCAGACCAGAAGATATCAGGGATACTTTGCTGCCACATTCCAGGTAAGATACTCATCATGCAATCCTGAAAATCCACTTGATTACTGTAGATTTCTTTTGTTATTTAAAAGCTTGTTGTTAAAAAAAAAGGAGTACAAATTCAAGAAGTGCAAACTCAGCTGTTAACAACTCAGGAATGAACAGCATGAATTAATGTCCTCTCCCTTTGTTCAACAGCACTGACATCAATGTCCGAACCAAGAGGTCCAGAAACTCAGCCAACCAGTCGAGAAGACAAGGCTGTTCGCTGGGCACTTGCACAGTACACGACCTGGTACACCGCCTGCATCAGCTCAATGTCACAATTAAGGCCGGGAGCGCCCCTGCTGAGAAGATCAGCCCGCAGGGATACGGCAGGAGGCGTCGGTCTCTCCCATCGCGCAGAGCCACACTGAGGCTGGAGCAGGGCAGGCTGAGGCCCGTGTGGAGCACAACTGACTCACAAGTCCACCGGCTGGAGGCTCTCCTCAAACGGACATGAGCTGGACTTTTGCAAGAACAGTTGGGAACAAAAGCGAGGGAGTAGCTCAGCGCTAGCGTCCTCTCTGCTCTGTTCTAAGATTCTCGAAATGCCTCAGACTTCTGCCAAGTATTCTCCAGCGCATTTGTTCCAGCCATGAGGACTGAGTCAGAGCGAGACTGGCTGCAGCCGAGTATCTCCAAAGACTGAGCCTCGCAGCTCAGCGATGTAGAGCCTCCAAACAACTGCAGCTGGCTTATAGACACTGGATGGCACAATGTGGAGCAAACTACAGGTGCTGCTCTCTGCTTGGCAGAGGTAAAGGAAGAGTGCTAATACCTGGCAAAGTGGACAAATCCTCTGGCTCAAAGGGGGAACTCTCTTCTAACATTCTGGGACTATACACACTTGTTCCTCAAGGCCAGGACTTTGATAAGTGCTATCCTCTAAGGATTATACCACCATGTTCCATCAAACTGTCAGTACTTGTCTGCACTTTTTCCATTTGGACTTAGAGTCAAATGAATCATCAGGAAAAAAAAAAACAAAAAAAAAAACATCTTCATCACAATGCCAAACAAGAAGATAGGCTTCAGAGCTCCGAAGCTCTCAGTTTATATCAAGTTTTGGACACTGTATAAGGGAAATGCCTTAGAGTCTGTGAGATATGTGCCAATCCACAATGGATTGAATTATACTTGAAAATGTTATTATTTGTACAAAAACATGTGCAATCTATATTTGTTTTTATTGCAGGATATGTGTATATATGAATTCCCTTATTTAAATATTATATAGAGGTTACATTAAAGTACTTATGCAGATAGAACTATTTTTGTACAGGAAGATATATATATGGGCATTGTAGCTATTTGTCATTATTCTTTTGCAAACTGTGGTAATAGGAAATCTGTTTTATAGGTATATATTATATATTTGTAAATGTGTTCTATTTTATTTGTGTCGAAGCAATAACATTGTCATTCAATAAACATTTTGCATACAAAATCTATCCCTCGTTCGGACCTTCTTTACTCCCGGCTCTTGCAAATTGAATGTGGCATTTCCATTGTCTGAGGCGCGCTGCCACAGCAAGACACACAGCACCTGGTCTCTGTTAAGTGATTACAGGTTCTCATTAGAGCCTCTCCTCCTCTCACCACATTCCCCTAGTTATGACCCCCCCTCTACCCCCACTACCCCCCTCAAATAAAGGGCAGACAGGGTGCCAGGCGCATTCCTGCTAGGTTCAGCTCATATTTGTTGGCTCACCCCACACCACAAAGCAGCCCTGAAGCCATCGGAGAAGGTTGAGGCTTTAGCTCCATCTGTGTTCAATGGTAGATGGTTGAGACACAAGGAGGCTGATGCGGGGGGTTCCGGTCTAGCATTCCTGCGCGAGCATCACAAACACATTCCCATTCAAGCGCACCCAAGACTGAGCACCACTGAACCACTGTGGATCTCTTCACTTGACACATTATCACCCTTTCTTACATACATATGTGTGTGTATTACTGTTTTTCTCTTATTTCTTTTCAGTCTTTAAATTCAAACCAGTCCCACAATGTAAAGGGTACAACACGAATACTTGCCAGTGTGGTATGTGGTCGTATGGAAAATGTGGGGCGAACACAGAGTAATGAGCCATGAGGACCCACTGAGGACAGAAAGGTTAGAGGGTGGCGTCGTATCTCCTCTGCAGCATTCACAATGAACTGAACACCTTTTAATAATCACATATGCATATATTTACTACAATAGCCTGGAACGGGAATTTAAGAAATAAAGTCAAATTAAACATTAATTGCCGCTGGTTGGTGCTCCTTGCAAGCATGACAGTCAGTGTTTCCTGCAGGCCCTACCTGCACACTCGTCCTGATTTTCTGAACAATTCCTCGTTAATCATATCGGGAATGAAAGATGTTCCTGTGATTGAACAACATCGTGCGAGACTGTTGTAGAGCTCACAGCATTTCAAAAGTGAGACCTGTGATTATGTGTTCTCTGTTGCCATCTAGAGAGAATGGATGGGTAAAACTGCAAAGGATTGTGCTTTTATGTTCCTGGTATGATTATGATTTATTCAGTCAAACCAAACAGATGAATGTAGGTTCTGTCCATCAGCTGGGCCTTCTGCCAAGCATCTTTATGAGAACTACATCCAGTTTGCCACCTTGTCTTGTAAATAATGAACACTTTTTAAAGCCTATTATCATCTTAAGCAATACTGCAAGAAAATATCAGTTCCCTCTTGCTATATATTGTGAGCTTTGAGCTTTCATACGGTAAATTGCATTTTACTATAGACAGGCTTCACTGCTGTTTTTGCTTGGATTTATTTCTTTTGCATGCAGTGTCGTATAATTAGAAAACGAGGCTCTACTGTCACTTAAATTAAAGATGTGGATTTTGGGAGGTTTAGACACACTTTGTGTCCCGACTGATTCATAGTTTATGGGTTTATTTAATTCACACAGTGTACAGTAGCTGCCGAGTGTCATGTCAAGACATGACCTGTCCCACAAATGACTCAATGGCATGAGGTCATTAGCAAATATTATAAAGAAAATAAAACACAGCAAATATGCCACCTAGTGGCTGAATAAGTTACGTGTATTTCTATTCTCAGAATAGGAAATCAAGTTTGTACACAAAACCCCTCTTTAAAAACAACAACAACAAAAACCACAACTCCTATAGTGTTTCTCATCACAGTAACATCGTTCTAAGAATAGAGTGAATGATCTACTCAGTGTGCTCACTAACTATGTGAAGGTGTCACTCCATCAGTAAGCCAATCAGCTGGTGACGCCAGTGACGCGATGATAGCATCAACAAACTGACCAGTGTAGGTCAACGGGTAACAAATAATACCCACTTTCCCAGATCACTGTAGGCTAAGCTGCGGGTTTTTTATTTTTTTCCACAGCTATGCGTAGACATGTCATATTTCAGGACACGCCCTTTCCAGCAGGACGTCAGCTGAGATCCAGTCACCACTTCTAACGTTATTGCCAAAATGCGAGTAAGTCGGAGCTGCTGGAAAATAACCATCAGGGAACTCAGGTGTTAAAAAGATCACCTGGAGAGGAGGAGAGGAGGAGAGGAGACAGACGAATACTCAATCTGCCAACACTATTCATCTGTCTCCTCCCCGTAATACTATTGTCAATCAAAATGATACATGCCTAGGACTAAAAGTCAGTCCTCTAAAGCCAGCTCTAAAAGTACCCTGATAACCTGAGCTGAGAGGATTAGCCTGGTAATCTCAAACACTGTCAGGCTAAATCAGGGACGGTGGGCCCCCTGCTGCTTAAGGCCACAGCAGTAAATCTGGGTCCTGTTCTTCGAGGCAGTGTGTGGAGTTGAGTAGTACTAATGCTGTGCTGCTGGACTGCAAAGCTTTGATTTGCCTCTGAGACTCTGCGAAGACACTGATGTTAACTACAGCACAGACAGTCTGCAATTTTAGTTTGTTTGCAAAAAACATGCAATAATAGAGACACTCACTCTTCACACACTGCTGAGTTAAATCCGGATTAATGCACTGTAACCGTATCTGAGTAGACAAATTGTAATTACAGAGACAGAAGTGAATGCAGGGTTTTAGGCGTTTAAGTCTTCTCAATGAAACCTGGTTTAACATTTATGCATTCATTATTTATCTCATCAAAAGGCACCCGTCCATTGCTGCTCGTCATGTTACATCACAGCAAAATGTCCTGCAAGTGCACAAAACAGCCACAAGAGGACATGGTTAGTCCCAAAGAAAGACCAGAGAAACCAGGGAAAACACTGTTATTTTACATAAATAACCTAATAATCACTACATCCATTAAGACTGGCTGAAGAAGTAGGAACACGACCACGACGGCAGACTTCAGCGTTCGACTTCAGCTGCTGTCCTCGCACTGAGCTGCGGTCATGAAAGAGTTAAGGATGGAGTGATGTGCGCTGCAGGGTGGTGGATGAGATATCAAATACTTTGTCCACAACAGGAACACAGCATGACTTAGATGTTTCTCTGAGGGAACTTTGCAGACGGCATAAAGATAAAGGAGGTGAGTGGACTTATTTGACGCGTTAATCTACGACCAGGATCGAGAGGCAAACATCTTCTAAAGTATATTTCTGTCTTTAAATCTTCAAATTGTTCTAGTTTTATTTATAGTCTTGTCATACTCAGTGTGAGAGGTTTGTGTGCATCCAAACCTATTCATCAGTGTGATAAAACAGCACACATGGAGACTTACTGGAAATGTATGTGACAAGTAGAGAATCGCTGTAAGGGAGGCGGCTTTGCTTTCATGGGTGAATGGCTGCACTTCCTTTGTTTTTATCTTTGCTCTTTTCTAGGCTGTGGCTGCTGCGAAAGATGAGAAGAGGAGACACGCCTCTTTTAAAGCAGCAGTCAAGTCCTTGCTTGGGAAAGAGTGAGCTTCTTACTTCCCCCTCTCTCATCACTATCTCCCTGTAATGTGGTAAATGGCTTTCTCTTGTGCCGCTGACCTCTCTCTCTGATACGACTCTGACGAGGAGCCAACTCGGGGGCCTCGGCCAATAACAGCAGCGAGGTGTCTGAGAAAAGTCCAGAAAAGACAAGATAAAGAGAGCAGAATATAACGAGCTGGGTCTGAGATAGTGGTCCAGTAATGGCCCCTACGAAGCCTCCTGTGAGGTTTACACACAGGGGAGTGGGAAAGAATGAATGATGATCTTTATCCTCCAAAGTAACCATCGAGATGATATATGGTCAGCTCAAAATTTCCACATTACAGTGCATTTAAGCAGTCTCACAAACACAAGGGTACTTACACCCACATTAGCACTGCCTAGAGTGGGCACCATTAAGATTCTCCCCACATTAGAGCCTAATAATGCTTTCTGCAGACCTACTGCGTGTTTCTTAGTATTTGATGTTTCCTACACCAGCTACTCTGAAAATCTCCTGTAAGGCAAAATAAAAACATGTTTGGGAGCTAGTCTAAACATTTCTATTAATAGGGATTGCTGTGTTGGGGTATTAATCAACAGGTACCTTCATATTATGTTTCTCCAAATATCTTGCACAGAGTCCGTTCTGTTCACTAAATGTGAAAATGGCATAAAGGGAATAAACACCAACTTGTGCTTATAGCCACGTCTGTTTTAAAAGATCTTACACTGACTAAGTAGGACCTCGGTGGGACATTTAACGATGCAGAGATGCAGCAGTTGACTCTCTGCCATGCTGTGGTTATACTTTGGGGAACCTGATCGCAACTGCATACATCACTTGATTGCTTTCATTAATTCCTGTTCAAACAGTTGTGGGGAAATTAGGGGGATCTGATGCATTATAAAATCTGTCACTCGTTAAACAGCACCACAGTCATAATGTATGAATATCATTTTACCAAATGGATTACTAGAGTGTTATCACCATGACTAGAATAGCTACTCAGTTATTTGGCTGACATCATTTATAGAAGGCAAATCACAGGGAGTCAGTCACTTATATTTACCATGACACAAATCTGAGTATTATCTGAGCGTGAAGAAGTCTAATGCCTCGTGAGAGCAATTAATTTGTTAAAAGACTAGCTTTGGCTACAGCACCGCAGCAGGATTATGTGTTTTCAGATGTGCGGGGATAAAAAGCCAAGGTCAGAAACCTGATAAAACATAACAAGCAAGAGAACAGAGAAAAGAGTGATGAACTAGCTCGGACTGTTCTCAAACTACTTCAGAAAACCATCACAGCATCTTGTGAATCTTGTAAATTACTGACTGAACACAACAACTGTGACCAGGCTGCTATGCTACAACGGTCTCTTTACTCCTCTCCCCCTCCATGTGTGCACACCATAAAGTATGAAGGTGTTTGAGTGTCTGGGAGGTAAACAGAGCAGCGGGTTCTGTCTGCTCTGACGGCGGCCCTCTCTTTGTTGACAACCGGTTCTGACAGATTCTCAGGATTAGTAGCTCCTGAAAAATAGAGAGAGATGGGCAGCCAGGACAATCAAATTGTAGTCGTGGACCACTGTTCACTCGTAGATCGCAGATAGTGTATCTTAAGGTGCCACTCCAAGTCCAGCTTGAGAAGACAACACCCTCAGACATGGCTGTGAGCGGCGCTGAAGGTAAGGCTACTTGTTTGTAAAGTCAACTTATAAAATAGTATATATAATAGTATAGTTATAGGCGATTCTCTGCATAACTGCTATAATCAGGACACAAAAAACTGATGGGGCTGAGTTGATGAGCAGTAAAATGACATGGCATGTGTTAGTGCCTCAATGAGCTGATTATTTTTTTTGCAAAATATGTATTTATGGTAATTAGTAAAGACATCTTAAAATTACTTTGACTTGATGCAAAATAACGTGAGCAGGTTTTTCATACACACTGTTGTTTAACAAGGATTTCCATGAGTTCACAATATTTTTATGTTTGAAAACGTTTTCCATTATTTTTTGTAGCCATGACACGCTTTGGGCCTTGGTTGTCATGGTTACCGTGGTCACCGTGGTTCCTGACAGGAAGCTTTACGGCTCAAGAAGAGGGGCATCCTTCCGGCAAAATACAGTTTGTTCTTTTAAAAAAGCTACTAAAAAACAGCTGTAAAGGCAAATGAAATAAACTTACCTGTCTCACCTGAGCAGGATGGACCTTGGATGGAGAACTCTTCGTGCTTGGTCAGCTAGAACAGGTTAGCAGCTAGCAGCTAGCATAAACTTTAGCTTTAGCATTGTGTGAGATTATAATGTTGTATTTTAACAAGCTAACGCTAACGTTGGTTTAAAACTACACCTGCTTAACCTCCCTAAATCGAAACACTGCAGTTATATAAACGTTAAATTAATAAAATAAAATAAAAAATAATTTTTAATTAAATTCGGGTGAAGTGACAGGACGGTGTACTTCCGGTCCGTTCCAGTATTCCTCCCCCTGAACAATCTTCAGGTGTTATTTTTATAGTAATAATAATTAAAAAATTGACAGTCAATTTCTTTACTGTTTTTTCCACCATGAATTTTTTTAATTTTTGTTTTTACTGTAAATTATCTTTAATAAATGCATTGCACAGTAAAACTAAGCCTTAAATCTACATAAAGTTGGATTACATTGAATAGACTAGATTCTTTTTATTTCATCTCTTGTTAGATGATAGTGACCTTGCTTATCTTCAGATACCATTGAAATCATTTTTACTGGTGTGAGATAGTCACAACAAGCTGTTTCCAAGCAAGCAGGAAAAATCCAATAATGTCTGAAAGCATTTTAGTCTAATGTTAAAAGAATGAAAGAAGTTTATCATTTTTAGTATGAGGTTAAAAGTTTGAACCTTTGAACCTTGAACATTCAGAGGACGCTTGGAGGATGTTGTCAGATTATGTTGCATGATAACAAAACAAGAACCAACATTCAAAAATATTAATCATGTAATTACATAATATGTTTTGTGGATGTAACCATGTAGAAATTTCTTCTAGAAATTGTTCTCACAGTGTTACACGACAACAAAGGAAGCACGTTCTCAGTCCAAAATTCAGAAAATGTGTTAGGAACACCGCCTTTAACACAAATATTCTGGGAATTAATTCTGAAATTATTGCTAAATCTTTGCAGAACTTTCTCGGGACGCTTTTAGAGCAAGAAAATTCTAGCTGGGTTCGAGGTATGTTGATGGAATATCGTAATTATAGCTACAAAATGTGCCCTTTAAAAGTTTATACAGACTTTTTGTACCATTTACATGAGACTGATTAGGAGAATGAGGGGTGAGGGGATATAGGGTAAGAATAGTCCAGCTAGCATTTTCAATATTCTAGAATATCTAATACAGCAAGGAAATAGCTAAGCTGAGCTAACTAAATGACTTTATGTTAAGATAATACCGTTAATAACATTATATTGTCTTAAATTCCTCACATTTAAAGTGAAGCTAGAAATAACTGTCCCACAATATGGAACGTGAGGTTTCTAACCAAGCCAACATAGTCTTAGGCCTAAAGTTGGACTGGATTGAATAGGATGGGATTGTGGCGCCAGGATCTGTGTTTGTGTACCTGTGAAAAAGTAATAAAAAGTAATTGTGTGTGAGAGGATGGTTAATAATTCACAAGGCCATCAGCTCCCGATCAATATGAGCCTATCTCTTTTCACAGTGTGTATGTGGTGCCATTAAGCTCCACAGCAGCGGCGATGCACACAGCTGTTGTCAAGATAGTGTTGTGTGTCCGGAATGATAAGCTTCCTGGAAGCACCCTGGCAGAGCGGAAAACTGGCTTAGATTACACCACGCAATGTGGCCTTCCCCTGTTGCTTTATCACGCCAATGAACAGAACTAGATATTCTATCATTGAGGATCTCAACAAGACACTGTCAGTCCATCCTGGTTATCTCCTTACAGAAGCAGCTATTTGTTTGGCATAGCCACTGTGCTGTTGGTTTGTGACCCTGACTTACTGTAAACACGATCATATACTGTAGTTAAAATAACTGCTTTTACACAGGGAGACAGACACTCCCACATCAGGAAAATATGCAAAACTATGAATGTGTCATACATCTGGAGAATTTAATGAAACTATTGGTACTAATTTAAGTTATTTTCAAGTATCTTTGTACCACTTCAAAATGCTTTCAACATAAGTATGCTGATGATCCCATGACTATTTCTACTGGCCTTGCTTCCATGAGAGTGTTTCCATTACAGTATCCCGTTACAGGCTTTGGCTGAGAATAATAAACGTGCTTATGTCAAACTGCAAAATAGAACGTGTTGCTCTTCATGGATAACTTCCCTTAAAATGAAAAACATAGCAAAGAATGAATAAGTATAACAAATAAAGACGGCACACAGGGACAAAAGAAAACAGAAAGACCAAATCATGGACAACAAGAAAAAGAGTTGTAGTTTATGGGCAATAAATATTATCAGGGATTGTGAGATGAACTAATGAAGCCAAGATAGGCTTTAAATTATGTGCTGGTTCATTTGCATCAGTTTGTAGGAAAAACAACTTCAAGAACTGCAGTTGTTTATTGTCATTTGAGCTGACAAACAGTTCAGACGGAGCTCTTCAGGTGGTGATGCCACAGTTAGGCCTTTCATGCCCTGCACACAAACCCTTACACAGGTAGATCCCTGTGTTTACAAAACAGCACAGACTGGTCAGAGTTAAGAAGGTTATGAAGAGGACAGGTCCTCTTTGTTTCTTTTGATTACGTGTTCCTGTCACCTCACTGCAGCTTCTGCTTTCTTGCAGACATGCCTCGTCAGTTTCCAAAGGTAACTCTGAGCGAGGCAGAGGAGGAGACGCAGCTGCGAGCAGAAAAAGTGTACGCCTCAGCACTAAAGGAAGAAGACAACAAGGATGCCCTGTCGATGTTCACCGTGCCTGAGGATTGCCCGATTGGCCTCCAGCAAGCCAAGGAACATGAACTGCTTAAGGAGCTGGCAGAGCAACAGTCGGAGGAGAGTGCCAAGAGGTAGGCCCTGCTGCTGCTCTGGCACCGACCCAGATCGTGACCATGTCAGTGATACAAGCAGAAAAACCTACATTAATAATTGCACCATGATTTCCAAAGTTACTCCAGCTTCAGTGAACTTACGTTGAACCAGATGCTAATCAAGTTGTAAATTTTTTCAGGAGGAAAAGCTTGAAGATGATTCGTTCACAGTCGTTGTCCCTGCAGATCCCAGTGAACACAGACTGGCCCCGCTCAGTGGCAGCTACTCCTTACCTGTCGCCCAGCTCCACCTGCTCATCAGTGCCCGAAAGCTGCCCTGATTACCAAAGGGTTACTATCAGTGGTGACTGTTGTGCTGGGGTAAGTAATATGACAGACACCATTAACTCGTGTGCACCAGAGCTAGAGCAGCTTTACATATGAAGTGTTTACTAACCGTTCCCATATAATTATCGTCATATTCAGTGCATGTTAAAAAAAACATGTACAAGGCTTTGAGAAAACTTGACTGTAGGTGTAATGTCCATTCCTCTCTCAGGTCACAGTGGAAGACTATGAGCAGGCAGCCAGAAGTCTGTTTAAAGCTCTGCTTATTCGTGAGAAGTACTCTAAGTTAGCCTATCACAGATTTTGTAGAACCACAAGCCAGTTTCTCCGCAGTGCTGAGAACATGAGATGGAGTGAAGAAGATGAGGTTCTGCCAGGTATGAAGCGTATATGTGACATGGTAATTAAAAAGATCTTTTATTCTAACTTACAGTGTATAAGTAAACTGAGAATACCCCTGAGCAATATCACTTAAATGTCTTAAATGTAAAAATGTGTCACCTTAATATATGGATTACTTCAAGTTGATGAATGGAGTGTTTCCTCTCATGAACAGCAAACACTGTAGGACGTCTGCAACAAAAGTCAATCCACCTGTTTATGATACCAAGCTTAGATTTCCAATTAACCTAATTGCATGACAATGGCTATAAAACAATCCGTCAACACCACACCGTCTATCTGTCTACTCACATGACTTCAGGTGAAAAATGAGAAATTAAAAAATCTGATTGTGAGACTTCATAAAGATGGAAAAAAAAAATACAGAGAAATGAGTAATCAGCTAAATCTGTAGGTCAAGGATGAGCCAAAGTGTCACTACTCAGAGTGACTCAAGTACACCTTACAAAGCTCAGGCATAATAAAACAGTAATCAGGCAACACAAAATGGAATTAGAGTCCAGCTGAAGCATGTGTAGCAGTGCTGAGATATTCCAGCACGATAACGATCCAAAGCACACTGGCAAAATTACAGAAGAGTTTGTGAATGAGGAAAAAAAAGTGAAAAATACGACCTGACTTAAGTCCAGTAGAAAAACTTTGTGGTATTTTAAAGAGAAACGCAGAGCAAGATAATCGTTCTGGCAAAAGCAGCTGAAAGATTGTCTGAAGAATGGCAGAACATCTGTTTAGAAACTTATGCAACACGGACGTCATTAAAAATACATTTGGACTTTCAAACCACTGAAAAACTAAAAGAGATTTACTGACTTTTGCCACTGCTCTTTTTTTTTTTAAACAGTAAATCTAAACTGTTAGTTTTTAATTTGACAGAAGAGAAAATACGCCACTGTTCAGTTTAGAAGTAGTGAAATTACTGTTCGGTGTTACAATTCAGAATCATGTGACATTTAAGTGATATCGCACAGGACTGTCCTCACTTCTGCTGTGAGTACATCAGTAACAGAAAGATCTTGTGGCCACCAGACATGTGGCCATGCCCAGCCGATGGGGAGGATCCCTATCGCATGGACAACACCCCTGAGAACCTGAACTACGAGCTGAAGATGAAGGACGGGATCGTGTACGTGTATGATAATGAGGAGGCTCTCAGAAAACAACAGGCCCACGATCTTCCTTACCCAGACTTGGAGACCTTCGCCATAGATCTCAGTCACGTGCTGGCGATGATCGCAGACGGGCCCACGTGAGTTGCCAAAACAATAAGATTTTAGAGCTATGCTGGTAGAAGAACCGGTTGTTAGGAGCTGTGCATATTTACTTACATTCTTCCAGTTTACTCAGCTGTAAACCGCTCTAACTTTCAGGAAGACCTACTGTCACCGAAGGCTAAATTTCTTAAGTTCAAAGTTCTTCCTCCATGAGATGCTCAATGAGATGGCTGAGCTAAAGGAGCTGAAGAGTGTGCCCCACAGAGACTTCTACAACGTTAGAAAGGTCAGTGTTCTACCTCCTTTGTGATCCCGTAGCATCCCAAAGTTTGGCTCTACAAAAACACTCAACATGTTAAGGCCTTGATATATTAGTAGACTCTTCTCATTTCTCTATTTCTGTCCTCTGTCCTTCCACCTCTACACCATCCTATAAATCGATCTTAGCGCGCAATGTTGAAGGATGTCTCAGTTCCCAAAATGCAGAGAGAAAGTGTTCATTCTTGTCCCATTGTGCCATTATGTTGTGAACTGAATTAAAAGTAAACCCGTAGGTTATAATGAACACTGGTGCGCCCATCTGACAGCGATTATAAAATACAGCGGTGGGCGATAACAAAACAGTGGACAGATGACCCACACATAGCATTTAATCCATGTTGCTTTAAAATGACAACCACCTAATGAGGATTTTGTTAAAGGCCTGTTGCCTCCTCCACTCTCCTTATCATTAGGGCACAGTAAGATTTGGAAAAAATGCAGCAAAAACTGATATTTTTAAGATTTAAGATTAAGATGCTGCTGAACCTGTTCAACTGCAGCTCTACCAAATTTGATATAAGAGCAAAAAAGCACAATTCTGCATCTGCTTCAATCACAGTAGCGCATTTTTACTGAATGTGCCACATTCAGCAGCAACCTTCCAAACATGGCTGCATTTGAACAACAGACACAGCCTGGTCCCAGTAGAAAAAGGGTTAAACAATTAATCCTTCACTATTTATAGGTACGAAGAAAGAGTCGTGTGTGCATGTTTGAACAATCACTTTGTCTAGAGGCTTAATATATTTTTTCTTTCTCGCAGGTGGACACACATATTCATGCAGCTGCCTGCATGTCTCAGAAACACCTGCTGACCTTCATCCAGACAACATATAAGACCGACGCCAACCGTGTAGTTTTGGAAAATGCTGGACAAAAGATGACCCTCCAGCAGGTTTTCCACTCTCTCAACATGGACCCCTACGACCTCACTGTGGACTCTCTGGATGTTCATGCTGTAAGAAAAGCAGAAACCCCCCTTTACCTGTTTTAGCTTTACGATTTTGTCAAAATAGGGCTGCAAGGTGGCTCGGTGGAATCTTCCTGCGTGAAGTCTCCATGTTCTCCCCGTGCAGCGTGGGTTCTCTCCGGGTGAACCTGCCTTCACCCTGAGTCAGCTGGGATAGACTCCAGCCCCCCATGACCCTAGTGAGGACTAAGCGGTGTATAGATAATGGATGGATGGATGAATTTTGTTAAAATGCTGTGATTTTCTGTGGTTATTTTTTCCATTTTTCAGAATATTGACCTTATTGAGCTCCTGTCAGAACAAAACTCGATGTCATATCTTTCTGCTACTTCAAGTTCCTGATCTATCTCTGGTTCTAATTTGTACTCAATTCTACTTCACAGGGGAGACAAACCTTCCACCGCTTCGATAAGTTCAACTCCAAGTATAACCCGGTGGGGGCCAGTGAGCTTCGGGAAATCTTCCTGAAAACAGACAACCTCATCAACGGAGAGTATTTCGCTCGCATCATAAAGGTATCGTATCACGTAGCGGTGCATTTAATGTCAGGCCAGAGAATGTTTAGCACAGTGACACTCTCACCTTTAACAGGAAGTGGCTCACGACCTGGAGGAGAGTAAGTACCAACACGCAGAACCTCGTCTCTCCATCTACGGACGCTCTCCTGACGAGTGGGACAGTCTGTCTGAGTGGTTCATCCACCAGAAGGTGTACTCTCCCAACATGAGGTGGATCATTCAGGTGCCCAGAATATAGTGAGTGCTGCGGCCTTAAAACAACACAAGCTGCTAATTTAAACCAATTTCATGAAGTATGCAGTAAAAATGTGTTTTTATGTTTCAGTGATATTTTTAAAGCGAAGCGGCTGGTACCGAACTTTGCCAAGATGCTGGAGAACATTTTCCTTCCACTGTTCAAGGCCACCGTTAACCCACAGAAGCACAAAGAGCTTCATGTTTTCCTGAAATATGTAAGATATTGTCGGTTTTTTTTTAGGATTCATTAGAGTAAAACCCTACAAAGATGAGTAGCTAGAATTTAACACTTCATTTTTATATATAAACACTTAATAAATAGTTACTGTAATATAGATGTAAGTGGACACAAGTGTTTTTATCGCAACGATTTGCAGCCATAAATGTGTTCTGGTGTCCGATTTAATAAAAAAACAGTTGAGCTGTAAAATATGTCAACATAGAACAAGTTGTATATTGATAAACGCTTTAAAACTACATCATACGTGTTAAAAACCACAGCTAAATGGAGTTAAAGTGAAAATTAATGCAGCCATTTGAAGATAAGATCAATCATAACAGGAGCATTCATTATTAATTTGGGCAACACATCTAGCGATTCATTGATTTGCCAGTGAAAGGAAACAGTCATCATCACGAGTCGCAGTTTAACCAATCCTGAAAACATGACTGATTCCCTTTCTTTCCAGGTGTCGGGCTTTGACAGCGTGGACGACGAGTCCAAACACAGCGATCACATGTTCTCCTTCAGGAGCCCAAAGCCGGAGCAGTGGACTGCAGACGTCAACCCCCCTTACAGCTACTACATCTTCCACATGTATGCAAACATCATGGTCCTCAACAACCTCAGAAAGTAAGAGTCACACTTGCACTTTAAAAGAACAAGAAACAGAAACTGTTTGATCCACGAGCAGTTTGCTCAGTAGCAGACCTACAAGGACAGCCAAATAAAACAAAGGGGGGCGGGCGAAATCAGGTCCCTCATTCAGGGGGATGTTGAAAAACAGACAAAAGAAAAGAAAAAAAAAGAAAACTGAACAGCTCTGGTGAGCACACAGAGACAATCTGGTGAAGCTATGAGTGATGGACCAGTGATGTGTAAACAGGAGGTTGATAAGATGAGTCGCTGGGGCGGAAAAAACAGTTTGGAAACTGGAAAACAGGCCACGACTGCAAATGTGTTTGTCACAATAGAATCTAATGCTTCTGTCCATCTTGAAATACACGCTTGTTAATTACAGAGAGTTTTGCCAGTAGATAGAATAGAATAGAATAGAATAGAATAAAAATAGAGTAGAATAAAACTTTATTGATCCCTTTGGTATAAAACCTCAGGGAAATTGTTAGATTGATGGAGGGCTTACGAGTCCTGAGCTACTCTACACTAAAGGTTGATGAGAGAACATCTCAGTCCAGCTGATAGATACTCGTAGGATTATGAACACAGATCTGAACGGAAGTAGACACTGTTCTGTGATTTGCTCACGTCCTCACTTATTGTGTCTTCTACAGAGAGCGTGGACTGAGCACCTTCCAGTTCCGACCCCACTGTGGAGAAGCTGGATCGATCACTCACCTGGTCTCTGCCTTCCTCACTACTGACAACATCTCACACGGACTCAACTTGAAGAAGGTACAGGCTCATTTCTGAGCTGCTATTATGTCAAAGGATGATCTTCTCGAGAGCAGGGAAGAGGAAACATGGTGATAGCGTTGTGCTGTCTCACCCACAGTCAAAGATCAATAATGTAATGAGGTTTCCAATTATCTTCTGCAGCACTTTGTCCTTGTAATTAATGTTTCATCCCTCTGACTATTTCTGGGTCTCTGCCGCTTTGCGATCGTGTTTTTCAGCTTGTTTATCCGGAGCGTTCCTCCAGATGTCAGTTTTCTCGGTATTAGCGCTGAAATTCAACACACAGCGGCTGAAAATATGAGAACTGTGGGTGAGAGATAGAGAGAGAGGAAATCTGAAGTTTTGAATTTCCGGTGGATGAACAGTATGTTCCAAAAGCATCTGCCAGTAAAGACGATGACATCAACTCACTGACGCTCATCTGCAACTCAAACTGCACTGATATACTTTTGTCTTTGTGTTGAATTAGGTCTCAGTCCAGCTGGCTTCTCATCAAACTGTATCTGACTGTTGTTAGGTCTCGACACTGCAGATAAAGGCCCACACAGGGAGAGTGGACAAACATTTAGCTCACCACGGCACAACTAAAAGATAAAATTGCTAACTAAAGAAGACCCAAGCTTCATATTCAGTCAGGAGAAACGTTCAGACATGAGCACTGGCAGACCTCATTTGCTGCTGTGTGTATTGACTGTTTCTCTGTTTAAACTGCCCTCAGAGCCCAGTGCTGCAGTACCTGTACTACTTGGCGCAGGTGCCCATTGCAATGTCTCCTCTGAGCAACAACAGCCTGTTCCTGGAGTACTCCAAGAATCCTCTCAGAGAATTCCTGCACAAAGGTCTGTGTGTGTCCCTGTCCACAGATGATCCCATGCAGTTCCACTACACCAAGGTAAAAATATACACCAGTGCTTCTAGGCTTTCGTTCACTGTGTCACAATCGCTGTTTAACTTACTATTGCAGTCCAGGTTGGATTGATTTAGCTCTGCAGTGTAAATACTTCTTATCTACTGTTTGTGTATCCTGATTCTAGGAACCGCTGATGGAGGAGTACGCGATAGCAGCTCAGCTGTGGAAGCTCAGTACCTGTGATGTGTGTGAAATAGCCAGGAACAGTGTGCTGCAAAGTGGATTGTCTCATCGGGTACCACGACATCCTCCTTCTATTCGCTTTCTCTGTCATATCAGGCTTCAAATGTAATCATTACTGCTTAGACCTGTCTTCCAACGGTTTATCTGCTCATTTATTTAAAGGATAAGAAGCACTTCTTGGGAGTGAACTATCTGAAGGATGGACATGAAGGGAACGATATCCGTCGGACCAACGTGGCCCAGATCCGCATGGCCTACAGACACGAGACGCTGTGCAACGAGCTGAGCTTCATAGTCGACGCAGTGAAGTCAGACGCTGTGAACGGCCAGTACGAGTAAGAGGAGCCTCACGCTGTGCCGAAGCCAAGCATGCTGCGCTCTTATATCACTATTTACCTTTATTTAAGATACACCGAGTGACTTGAATGATTAAATAAAAATGCAATCTCTTGTCACTTAAAGAGCAATACTTAGCTGCCTCAAAGTTATTAACAGATGAGATGTTGAAATGAAGACGCATGCCTCGGATGACTGATGGTACTCTGGTTGTTAAAGGTTTAGATGAAAGCTGTGGAGGACCTCATGTGAAGCATTCAGTCATTAAACAAACCTCCTACGTATAAACATCTGTACCTTACACTCCCTCCTGTGACAGGAGTGTGTCATAGAAACTGTTCTCTTTTATCGTGTACACTGCTTATCAGACATGAAGACACTTGTGGTTGAGAGAGCTTTGCACAGACACAGCTGAAGAGATGATGGCTGGAGTTGTGTCCTTTTCTTTAAAAAGCTTGTTTTAGGTTTCAGTGAATTCAGTGACAGATGTTGATATACTGATGATATCTACTTTTTGCCTAAAATTGTCTCAGAAAACTTGCTTTTACACGTGTGCTTCTTATCTGAAGCCCCAAGAAGGATGTAATGAGAATAAAAAAGGAGTCAGTCGTCAAAGTGATTGTATTGCAAACATCGCCCCCTGGTGGTTAAACTGCCCCATTTATTTACATTAGAGGACAGAAAAATAATAAACACATACATGCAAAATAAATTCACTTTACAGTCATTCTGTTACAATCCGTTCATACAGATCAAGGTGCACATCTTGAAAGATATTACGCAGATTTTTTTCATGGTGTTTCCTCAAAAAATCTCACGTGTAGAAAATGTTTAACATGCGTCGTCGTCCACTTCCATCCTCTCGTCTTTCTTCCTTCACATTCTTCACAACTGTCCACTTTCCTGTTGCTGCCCCATGTCAGATCTCAGAGAGCAATATCTTCTCCTGTTCGCAGCAAGAGAGAAAGAAAACCATAAAAATAACGTAGAGCCTTGAACTCAGCATGAAGGAATGATGCTTTTGCCTTTGCAGTCTCATAGGCCTCAGTGTTGTATATATATATATATATATATATCGGGAACTACTTACGTTTTCAGATATGCAAAGATGATTACTGCAGTCAGGAGGAGGGCACCGGTGCAGGTGATGAGTACAACTTTTCCTGAAACAATAAAACATCAGAGGGGAAACACATCAGTCACACAAAATGTTCAACCGCCACATTAACTTTGCTGCAAAATGAAGAGCCTCATACCTCTAGTAGAGCCTTGTGCGCTGCCGGATAAGCGGGCTAGTTGTCCCTCGCTGTCTACGGTGTCGTCAGTCGAGTCGGAGGAAGCTGTAGAGTTTACTGACAGGTCGGAGTCCGTTGGGTTGGACGGAGCGTTTTCCGGGTTCGAGCTGCTGTTCAGAGGGTTATCAGTTGCTGCATCCTTCAATTGTGCTGCTGCATCTGTGCATGTACGTGAAGGTCGGGGGAGATTAGATGAGTGCATGTCATGTGATGGATGATTTTACTTTGTCACTGCTACTTGCACTAATGCACTGATATGAAATAAGGAGGAAAATATCAGAACAAGTTGCAGAGCTTTAAACAAACCTTTAACATTCTTGCTTTAACATTTTCTCATAAAGTTTTGAGCAAAGCTTGTAAAGAGTATTCCAGAAATGAATCTAAATTCTAAATTTGAAAGCTCAAAAAGCAAAGTGATGTGACAAAAAATCTTGCATGATATCTTTAAATAACTGTCAGCAGAGAAGCGTGCACATGAATGCTTTCATACCCGATTCATTGAAGCAAAACGCATCAAACTTGCGAGTCACAGCAGCTCTCCACGGCACCAAGCCTGTCTGGTTTTGGCCACAATTAGGGAGTGCTTGGATTCGGGGAATGACTGCAAAATGTTCATCAATCCATCCAAATCTAAATGCAAAAAAACCCAAAACATTAGGCACGTTTCTGTGAATCCCACTGAGGTGCTACTGTGGAGTGTTTCCTCTGGTCTTACCTGCATGTTTCTAACCCTCTGGCGAGAGCTTCGTCCACTTGTGCTCTTGTGGCGATGTTCAGCCCGACGGACGAGCAGATCATCCGAGCTTCAGAGGCGTTGAAGGCGTACTGAGGCTGGAGGAGGTGATTTAGGGAGGTGACCTGGACCACCCCGGCAATACTTTGTGCAGGGAAAACTGGAGGAATAAAACAGTGGAGTTACATACAGACAGTTACACACCCGGTAGAAATAACTTACAAATCATTTGGAATCACTCACCTTGGATGCGGATGTCAATATCTTCATCAGAGAAGACTGAAGCGACAGTCAGCGCTGATGTGATGCAAAGCCAGAGGATACTCATGACTGACCGGAGTGGAGGCGGATGAACAACGAGGAGGACCAGTGCTGCGGCGAATTATGAGCCCGTGAGCCAAATGACACGGTTAAATAGAGGTGATTCTGTACGCTGGGGTGTGTGGAGTCTGTCATTGCCAGAAAATAAAGGAAAAGGAAGTAGGAAGTACTGAGCGCGGGTCAGATCAGGAGCCATCATATGTTCTGAGAAAAGGGCCGGAGGGAGCGTGGAAGGTAGACGCATGCTCCAGGAACGATTGATCAGAAATGTTCTTTAACTTAAAAAGACACGTTTGGTTCAGTATATGAGGGAGATATTAATTGGATGTAAATGAAAATGCAGAGGTTTGCACCAGATCTGGCTGTGATGTAAGAGGATTTTATTGCTCCTGACATCTGACTGGGCACCCTGTCCTAATGACTTCCTCTCTCGGGGCGTTACTCAATCATGAACCTGCTTATTATCTCTGGTACCCTCCGATGAGCCTTGGCATACGACGACATCCCACTTCCGCAAAAACATCTCTCCAAAAGCCCTGACGGCAGGAAATGACGCAAAGCCCCGCTGACGAAAACGCAAGCAGGGTTTTTGGCAGATGTGAGGTGTCACTGAGGTGAGCGGCCACAACAAATGGCAATCTGGAGCTGCGGAAAGGGATATTATACTCTTGTCATATTTTGCCTCCCTAGAGGTGGAGTTTGTGTGTCTGTGGGGTCATATGAAGACCTTATGGAATTAAACTTCATAACCTTACATGGTGTCCTGAGATAGATAAGCTACTCCGATGAGAACACATGTTGGGAAGTCGCAGGTTTTTTTGATGGAAATGAAGTTTTTCCCGTCAGACGTTGTGACTAAAGGTGATCCTCACGTCATACATAATAGCATTAATAATGACTTTACTGTATTAGAGCGTCCCAATAAATCATG